ATATGCATATATAGTTTCTCTAGCGAAGTGTTTATCATCTATTCAAATGCCTAACATTCCTAATAGAATAGGGATGTTTGGTAATTTGAAGCTAACATTTTGAGCAATGTCCGTCGATGATTTACAATAGTTGTCAATTTGAGCCAACCTTTGTCAAAAACTATTAAAAAAAGATGATTTATTTAAATCAAAGTTTAATGAAAAAAATTAAACATCGATGATAGATATTGTGAGCTAGTTGGAGGGTGTCTATTGGTTCCTTAGACGTACCCCACAAATCATATATTTTCCCTGTGCAGGCTGTGCGTGATTTGTAGCTATATGTTGTTAGGTGATGACATTGCCTCCCTACTCCATGTTATCTTCTCGAGCATTGCATACAGCTAATTTCCTGCTGCAACATCAGGCCCCAGAGAACCAAATGCATGCAGAAGATCTTTGTGGACGCAGGATCGAGATCTGAGGAGAATGACACATACAGGCAACAAAAGAGTTGGCTAGGGCCCTAGGACCCTAATAGCATGCATGCATTAGGCAGTAGCTGGCCCAAGCAGTGGCCAGTGGCAGCGATGCATCGTTAGAGTATCGAGCAGAGCTGCAGTACCGGTGAAGATGAATAGCACAGTCAATTTTCAAAATGATGGATTTTCTTCATGTCACCATCACCTCAATAATTTCATTGCACATCCCCAATCTTCTCCTTCTCCTGGACTCTCTCCACCAGCCACCCATTCGTCCTTTTTCTTTCCAGGAGTAAATGTACATAATTACCTAATTACTCTACATATATATGTTTGGTTGTTAGCTCCAACAATATAAATAGTCAAATAATTTTTTTTTAACAATAAAAATAATTTTAAATTAATTTTTACATATTTTAAAATTAATTTATTCCTCAAACATTTTAAAAAAACACAATGAGTCTTACAATTTGATTTCCTTTTTTCATCATCAGTGAATGAGTTGGGTAAAAGACATAAAAAATTGTTACTTCCCCCGGTAGAAGTTAGGTAGAAGTTTTCAACTTGGGAAAATTGAAATTGAATCTGATTCCCTCCTTGCTGTTAGCATTTTCAATGATGCTTATTTTGTTAGTAGATATCTCATAAGTTCGCTAGCGGCTTCATGCCGATTATTGATTTAGAGGTTTGAGTTGGGTATTATCAAACATACTTATCGAGAAATGAATGGTGTGACCAATTCACTTGTCGAGTTTAGTGTTTTCGTAGAAAAACCTTTTGTTGTTTTTGACTATATTTTTTACTTTTGTTTCTCTTGATATTTTCATGATAAGAATGGTTGTTTTATGTATCGGATTATATTTTGTAAAAGTTAATTAAATTAATAAGTTTTCTATTTGCATAAAAAGAAAAGTTAGGTGGAAATTAATATTACTTAGGAGACTTAGGGGAGAGATTTAAAAAAAAAAAAAAAAACAGAGAGAGATAATAAAGTTAGAAACATAATGATACACTCCACTTTAATTTAACTAGTTGATAGATTATCTAGTTAATTTAGGAGTAATAGTACTATTAGCAGACTGAAAAGTTTATCAATCAAGGGAGAGAAGGTCATGATAAAGCCATGGTTTCACATATCATTTGACATGATTGCAAACCCCAAACCTAAGTTTGAAAAGCAATTTAATTTAATTTAGTTAATTATTTTATGATTAACAAGATGGAATTAGGACAAGAGACAGGCATGGAATGGAAGGATCTTGCATGTTCCTATTCTTAGACACAATGATTATGCATTTTGTCATGCTTTACTTTGATTGTCATATAATCATCGCCATTATCATCACCATCATTTCTCTTTGTCCCAATTCTCTCCCTGGGATGCTCTGTGATGCCGGTAAAGTTTGGGACAATAGGACCTATTAAACGTTGCATTTAAATTACAAAAATGATGTTCATCATAAGCTTATTATAATAATCACTAACGTTTCATTGACTAATCAAGTCTCTCTCTCTCTCTCTCTCTCTCTCTATAATTAACTTTTTAATAAATCAAAAACTTTAAATAAACTAATGAATAAGAAACTCATATGAAAATAGACTAAATATGTATAAGATGAGATTTAAATTCGAATTTTTTTATTTTATTTTTGAAAATTATTTTTTACTGTAAAATTACATTATACAAGAATGTTAGAATTTTGAATTTGATTGAATCAAAAAAATTAACATAAGATCAATAAAGGGGTAAATAATGATCAATGTTGACTTTGATCACTTAAGCATGAAATTGAAGTGCCAAGATTTGGGAGAAAAAAAAAAAAAAGCATGAAAGATGAGTTTGAAATTTTAATGGATGCCTTGAAATATACTCTCCGTGTGCTCTATGATTCATTTTGCATCCCATAATCATTTCATACGCCCATTTCCTCTCTTTTGCCCAATTATAATTAATTAACATCTCATCCTTATCACCATCATCATGCCCATCTTAGTCGTCGTCGTCGTCATCATCATCATATCCATGACTTTCTTCCTCATTATACCTCAGCTGGTAGTCTTCTTCCTCATTACCTGCTCAGTGGTTATGTTGACTAAAAATCAAGATGAAGAATATTGATTAGGCTTTGATGAATTTTTTCTTTCTTTTTTTTTTTCTTCTAGAAGTCATTTGCTCAAGAATTTTTAATTTTACAATTTAAATTGCATTAAACTGTGAACATAAGTTATTGAATAAGGAGGGAGCTTTTAATATCAAGGAGCCCACCTCCATCTAGAGATGAGCATTTTCAAGCACAGGTTAAGTATTAGCTATTTTTGGTATTTAATTTGAAAATTTTGGGTACAACCTTTTAAATTTAGTACCTACCCAAATACTCAAATATCTATACTTGTTACTTAATTCAACGAATTTCAAATAACTTACAAATATATACTTATGTATTTGGGTTAGGGAAAAAAAGGTCTGATATAAGATACTATTATTACATGTATTATGTATTTGATTTAAAATTTATTATTTATACGAGTTATTATTGTTATGTGTATGATTTGTTTGATTTATAGGTCTTATTTGACTTTTATTTTTATTTTTGTGTTTTATTATTTTTATTTTTAAAAATTATTGTTATTTTATAGATATTAAGTATAATAAGTACATATAGAATTTCAATTATACAAATATAAATAACAGATAACTTAAACAAGTCAGTTAAACAGGTCAGATCCTATATTTACAACTTGACTTCATGCTTAGGTATTCTATTTTTGTATCCATTATTTACCCCTTTTTTTATACAATTTAGATATAGTTCTTATCTAAATATGTAAAGTATTTGCAAGTAACAGATCCACCTATACCTAATATTTACCCTTACTTCCTTACTTCCATTAAATAGTTAAAGTTATATAGTTTAGAATAATCCAGATTACACAATATCTTTTTATTTTTATTTTTTGAAACGACACAATATCTTTTTATTTGTTGAAATGCATGCTAATTTTTTTGTGGATTGGAATGGATTGAACTTACTCAGAAAAGTGGGACAAGGTGGGCTGATAAAGGATTAGATAGTAAATTCATAATTGGGCTTTCTGTTATGGGCCTGGTTTCTCCCTTTCTACTCCTCCCTCTGACTTGAAATAATAAACATTCTAAAATAATAATTGTTTTTTTTTTTAATTTTTTAAAAAAAGACATACGTTAACAATATCCTTCCTATTATGAAAAAAAAATTATTTTTATTTTTTTAGTGATAAAATAAATAAAAATAAAAATTATCTTATAATTTTTAATTTGATAATAAAATAAAAAATATTTATTATTTTGAAACAGTTCTTGGACTGAGACTAATTATTAGTACCGATAGGATTAGCAGGAGGTTAAAAATGATCTTGCAGAAAGATTCATTTTCTGGGAAGAAAAATGATAGTTTTAATCAGATAAATGAAGCTTCATATGTACAGCACAGGGGTAACTAATTACTCTTAAGAAATTATTGGCCTAGTAGGGTCAATACAAATTTGATATGTCATGAATACTCAATGCATTGCCCTCAAGTAAGGGAGTTCATATCCGATTTAATCAGATTGATTTGATTTAAATTGATCCAATTCAATTAAAAATCAATCCAAACCAATATAAAATTGAGTTGGTTTAAATTATAAAATTTTAAAATCGATACAATTGATTTGGTTTGTGATTTTATCTTCAGATCACCCGAACTACCTGATTACAAAATAAAATTTGATTACAAGATAACTTAATTAAATAATATAATATAATTTTTTTTAGTATTTTAAAATTTCTTTTTTTTTATTTTACAAGATAATAACTTCATTAATTTAATTAAAAAATAAAAATAAAACATCTTCATATTCCTTAAGTTATTTTTCTATTTTAATCATGCACTCTAACCCTAATTTTAAATTTCTAATTCACCTGTAACTCTATCTCCTGAAAATTGGTTTGCACCTTTACTTTTATAATCCTAAATTTTTAATTTGTTCCTAAAATAATATTGTGATTCTCCTAAGTAAGTTTTAAAAAAGTATTATTTTAAAAGTCTTAAAACAATATAATAAATCTAATTTTGATATTTTATTATTATTGGATATTTGGTTTAGAAGTTTTAAATTTTGATTATGAATGCTTCTAATCAATTTTAGTGATATTTATGTTAAATTTTATTTATTTTTTAACAAGATTTAGAAGATGTGATTAAATTATTAGTGTATTAAAAAAATTAATTTTAACATTTAAGAATTATTTAAGCTATACTAAAAATTTGAAGTCATCTGTTATTGTTCTTGATACCTCTAGTGATGTAACCAAGAAAAATTTTCA